AAAAAAAAAAAAAAAAAAAAAGATTAAATGACGTACAGTAAGTAAAAAAAATTTAATGTAAATACGGATCAACTTTTTTATGCGTTTGTCGCCTACCACTTGTTTTTCGTAGAGCATTAAAAATTTCCGCTGCCCCATTCAAAATGCTTTCTTTGCTTGAATGTTTATTTGGTGCGCAGAAATTTTAGTTTTCTTCGGTAACACCAATTTTTTGCCTCAGAACAGCGTTTAGTACTGTAGCTTAAACCGGGACAAAAGTTGGATGAAATACCCGTTGAAGTTTTTAGCCTCATTCGACTCAACATTCCTTATTTTCCCTAGTCAAAGGTAGTGTTTATCCAAAAGATTCTTTGTCACAGACTGTCCAAAAGATGAAAGAAAAAAAAAGATAATATCGCAATGAAGAATGAGAAAAAAACCTCGCAACGGATAATACATGAGAAACCATGCTGTTATGGGCCATGCGTTGCGTAGAAGAATGCAAAAAAAAAAAAAAAAAATGTTACCGGTAGTTGCATATTTTGTGAAACTGATACAAATCGTTGAACGGGTCTAAATAAATGATTCCATAGGGAACCTTCCATACCCCAAAAATCACAAGTAACAAGCGCCAAACGCGTAAAAAAATATAAGTTTTGTTTTTTGTAAGGAACTTTTTACTTCACAATGTCTTCTGACAATCCTAGGAAACAATTACGGCCCTAACAGACAAAAACTTCAGAACAACTATGAAACACTATTATAAAAATCCATCTTCTGCTTAAACAACCCTAACATTACGATACTTCTACGAATTCTCCAACTTGGAATGACGTAGCCTTCCAGTCCCACCAAGGAATTTTCAGTGTGTCTACAACATGTATGTGTTAGAACACCTTCTATATTATTTTCAGCACTTCAAAAGTAGTTAACGCACTTTGTCAGCTTCCTGAATAATGACAAGTTTTCTTAATCTTCGAACCAGAAGTTTACTTCCCATGCCTAAATCCATTTCAACTAGTTTCAGTGAAACAGCATCACCCAAAAAACCCTCAAAATGCTGCCTTCATCAGAGTAGGATAACTACTATGTAGTATACTTAATGATACTTATATTCCTCCTCTGTTGTTTCTTTGTTACTGACGTGCGTGCTTCAACAACGGAAAAATCTTATTACTGTCTTTCTAGTCATGCAATCATCAGAGGATTTATTCTATAGATAATGATGTAGTCTCTCTGCCGGTCCACAAAAAAATCGTTGTGTGCATAACTCCCAAACGTCTTCCTTATATGTGTTCCTGCAATCTTCTGCAAGCTTAA